TTTTTTTTGTTTTTTTGTTTTTGGTAAAGAATTTCGATGTGACCCTGAGGCAAAATTTGTTCAGTTTGAATGGGGACCTGGTCTGCGGTGGCGCCAGAGCGCACTAAGTCGAGCAGCGTTAGCACGAGATGTCTAGGGTTTCGAGAGCGGAACTCGAGCGCCATGTCCCGGAGCACGTTGCACAGGAAAGGCGGCTTCTCTAGCAGCACCGCGAGACATACGTTTTCTCGGTTGTACGCTACGAGTGGGTTTGTCCCCACGGTGGAAAGGGAAGGTGGGTCCAGGGTTTGGTTGCATTCATTTACCTAAGAAGTCTATCTGAATATGCCGACTTGAAGAACGCGACTTGTAGGGTCGCGTCCTTCCCATGGAATAGCAAGAGACAGACTTTGTCCTTTGGTGTAGGAGTTAGGAGAGTGAGTTTCCCATCTGGGAAACATTTCCCTCTTCCATCCATCTGAAGGAAGAGCGGTCCTATACATATCCAGACACCGACAACCAAGCGGTTTGTTCTCAGGAGGGCACTTTCTCGCATACTGGAGGACGCTTTGTCCGAGATACAGTGACTTCAAGGAGCAGAGGGAGTTTTCCTTTCGGGGAAATACTTTCCTCTTTTGTCCATTCGAAGGAGGAAAGATCCCTTTTTACTTCCAGACATGGACAACAGGGCGGCTTTTGTAAATAAGGAAGGCGCCTTTCCGCATGCAGGTATATTCTCTCTCCATTGCCTTCAGTTATTTCCTGTTTTGACAAAGCCGCTAACTCCTGTCTTCTCTACTAACTTGGAATGAATTGAGACTTCAGTTGCAACATTAGAGCCCTGATAATATTGAGGTGGACAACGCTTTGTCAGTCCTGCGACCTTTCGTAGTTTTCTCCCTTCAGGAACGGATTTGCTCTCGTGACCCTACGGCGTGAGCGGATTCCATTTCACTCCTTATCGAGAATGCGTGAGCGGATTCCATTTCACTCCTTATCGAGAATCCCTGGCCTCGAACCTAGGAAAGGGAATCACGCCTAGGGACCTTACATGTGGCAACCAGAAAGATCGACGGATTGGAAGCGAGCGCTTCATCAAGCCCATTAACTACCCCTACCATGCCAAGTCTATTTGCCCTTTCACTCACACTCCCTTCTCCGAGCTTCAGTCGCACACCAATCCGAAGTTTGCAACGTTCAGAACACGGATCCTTCCAAAGCGAGGTGGGAACTCTAACACGGGTCCCAGGTAACGCAGTACTCTGTATTCCACTGTTTCCCGGCGCATACTAAGGGCATATCTTTCTTTTGTTGCGAATAGTCAGAAGGAACAAACTAAGTTTATTTGGTATCTGCCACTTACGATTTACTTAACTCAGCTTGTTTCCTCCTTCTCATGTTCCAAAATTTTGACATCTCTCCTCTTTGTCTTACTGGTATGCCCCGGGCGGAATACGGCTGTTAGTGCCAGAAGGATAAAGCTAAGGTAGGAGGTTCAATAGACTAAGTTCATACAAGTGAAAGCGGAGTAACCAACGTGTAGGTACGCACCGCCTTGTAAAGGCGGGATGGAGAATCCGGCTAACCCGTTTGAGGGGCGAGCAGCTAATGGCAACAACACTGCCTTGACACAGGAAGTAACAGGGGGTATCGCACCACCTCCGGGAACCTTGAAGTGGGGTTCTTTCACACCTTTTTGGAAAAAAAAGAGAAAACTCAACGCTGCCCTCATCAGCCTCTGGCTTGAAGGAGGCGGTAACAAAGGAGATAGAAATGGAAGAGCCTCGCCCGAAGGCTGTTCTTAAACAGCCGGGCAACTACGTCCAAGCTGTCAGCCGCCCAGCAACATTAGGTAAAAAAGTTACCACGCCTCTCGCCTTCAGGGCTGGTGGGGAGAGTGGTTTGGCAGGCATAGGGGGGGGAGAGACGGGGAGAGAGAAGGGAATGGATGTGGGGGGAACAGGAGGGCAAAGGGAATGGGGGAGTGGAGAGGATGAGAAAGGCGTGAGAAGGAAAGGAGGAAAAGGCAGAGGAGATGACAATAGAAACAGCAACCTTCTTCAGAAGGGACAGAAGGGCCCGGGACGGGAAAGCTCACTGGCTCCTAGGGTTAACTGGTGGCCAGTTGAGGAAGATTCAGAGGAGGAAACGGATTCAGAAGAAGTCACCAGTACAGGTGGCGAGTCAGTGACGGATGTAGAGTCGTAGACAACTAAACAACTGTTTGACAGATGCTACGGCAGGCTCATGATTCCTGACACATAAAAACTAGCCAGATTCACCATGAAGGACAGGACAGGAAAATTGGCTGCGAGAGAACATGGTCGTGGTTTTCTTTCAGGGTTCCTTCCGTTCGGTCTCAGCCGAACGAACGGAAGAATGCATCAGAGTTCTCGAAGATACCCTCCTCCCAGCCACAATGCACCATAAGGAACGAGGCAGAGTACATCAGGAAGGAAGGAATGTTATGTCCTACCTTCCAAGGGACAAAAAACACTGTAGAATTCCTATTGAAATTGGGAGTTCACAAACTCAAGGTAGGGGCCCAGATGTACAAAATGTCGTTCAAAAATTGGATGTCAAAAAAGCAGATCGAAGAGACAATGGTCAAAGAAGAATTCAGTAAAATCTGGATGATGGCTCTGCTTGTGCCTTACAAGGCAGTCCCCTATGTCAAATCAGCCCTCTCTTTCGCTGTTGGGAAGATCTCAAAACAATACCCGCCAGAACGGTATGAGGACGCACCAAAACTCAACAACATTAAAGTTTGATATACCGCGGGAGTTGAAAGACAGGGTTCCGGATCTGCTGCAATGGCTACAGAAGGACGGCTCAATCATTGAAATCAGGGTAGTCACACAGTTCAGGGACTACTGTCACTTTTGCAGGGATTATGCTGGTCACCCAGCTGCATCATGCCCACAAAATTTCGCCATTAACACTGTGCAACACAGGGAGCAAAGTCCGGAGGGAAGACAGCCACCAGGACAGGCAGTTCCCATCTTGCCCATGACGACGGTGTATGATCGTCACGGCCTCAGAGCAGGAGCCCTGAGGAACGATTGGTCACAAAACCCCACCACCTCTATAGATAAGACAGTCTCAGTCCTGGTTAGTGCCTCCAGCATCCCGATGTCTTTCAATGTGGGGACAGCTAACAAACCGATGCAGAATTCTCAGCCCTCCGGTAGTCAAACAAGGGTTTCCGTTTGGAGACAGGTGACCCAAAAAGTTGTGTCTGCAGCCAATCGTACGGCTGAAAAGGAGGTAGTAGAGAAAGTATCGGAGTTGAAAATCTCTGATCAGGCCAAGGACAAAGAGGAAAAGACTGAAATCCTTTCAGAACCACTGACGGTGCCAGTTGGTTCAGTAAACCCCTTCCCCCAAAACGCTGTCCTTACGCCCGTCCCCAACAGTAAACCGTTCACAGACATAGAGAACCCCCTCTCTCAGGGAGAGGGGAGCAAGGAGAAGGGAGACGGGAACAAGGAGAAGAGAAGTGACACGGGGATCAAGTAGGGGGGGCTAGGGAGCCCCCAGACAGAACAAGGAAAGGAGCAATCAGAAGACGAAAAGGAAGAGGAGGAGGAGGATGCTCGGTCAGATGCCTCCTTCCACTCTTATGACTCATCAGGCTCACTGGAGGACGCCACAGTGCCAAAAGAGAAAAGAGGGAGAAAAGAAGAAGGTGAGGGGCCCATGCCCAGAATGGCCATCGCTGCACAAAAACAGAATAAACAGACAAAGGCGATGCCCTCATCAGACCTTCAAAGCTCCACTAACAAGTACTTGGTTCCCCTGATATGCAGACAAACCCCCAAAGCCGTTAGATTCTTAACCTACAGCAGGGAGTCGAGCATCAAACACCTCACGCCTTTTGCTGTGGCAAGCAATCCCAGTAAGAATACAATGTTAGAAAAAGTCAGAAATTACCTCGGGCCAAAAGTGGCAGTGAGACAAGTCCCGAGCATAGGGACGAGGAAGATGATCCGTCCCAACTCGACCGGAAAAAAGATCCACATCTTTATGGCCGCCTTTGATGTCCGGCCCACGGAATCAGAGCTTGCCGAGCTGGAAGACGGTCATGCCTTCTGGTGTCCACTGTATTGGGCAAAGGAGGAGACTATAATTCATGCTAAAATGATCTACACAGTCGACGCAATCTCAGGGGACATTATCCTAGACTATAACCAGCAGTTGATCATGGATTCCAACCTCTTTTCTGAATACTTTGCAAGGCTCCTCTCTGCCCCATGGCAAAACAACACGGAAAAGCCCGCAACTTCAGGACACAGGAGACATAAATCGAGCTTTGGCTCGCTGGTGTCCGAAAAAGAAATGATTGTGGGGGCTGGCCCTCCCCTGGACGGGGACACGGCTATGGAGGTTGGGGAGGTTGAGAAGATCTCCTGCTTCCTGGAGCCAGACATTTCCCTCATCCGTAGCTCAGAGGGGGTGAGAGGAGATGAATAAACTAAGGATAGGATCATGGAATGTTCGGGGTCTAGGTGACGAGAACGATACTAAAAAATGGGCCAGAATGAAAGCGTGGGTGCATCAGGAAAGAATTGACATTTTACTAATTCAGGAAACTAAACTGAATGAAGAGAAAATCGAAGAGAATAGATGGAAGTGGCAAGGGCCACAGTTTTGGGGCCCTGCAGATGGTACAAAAGGGGGTACAGCAATCCTGATTAGTAAGAATCTGTGTTTCTCTCACATTGATGATTTCACGGATTCAATGGGTCGCTGGGTATGGGTCACCATCTCTCTAGAAGGGACCCCTTGGACTATAATGTCGATTTATGCACCCGTGATCCAAAGAGAAAAGCTGCAATTGGTGTTAGGGGGAGATTGGAATACCATACTAGATCCCCGTTTAGACTCCACCTCCGGTGACTAAATCAGGAAAGACTCCAAAGCAATCAACCGCTTCTTGGAAGCACAGTCATTGCATCCTGCCTCTCAGCAATATGCTTGGGTTTCCCCAATAGCCAGGGCCAATAATCTGCACACAAAACTCCGCCTGGATTTTTTTGTGATGAGACAAGAGCCATAGATTGGGTGACTGAGATCAAGATGCCTTTCAACCCCATGTCAGACCACAGACCAGTAATAGCCACTTTGGTGTCAGATAGGAATATTAGCAAAGGTAGTGGCTATTACAGATTGAACACAGAGACACTCAAAGGACAAGGATGTCAAGAAGTCTATATCCTCTTTCCTTTTAAAATGGCACGGCTTCAAGGACTAGTTCCCCTCAGAAGGTGAGTGGTTCGAAGCCGGGAACAGGTACATGGCAGACACCTTGAGCTTTGCCTCAAGGATAAAGGCCTATAATGCAAAAAAAGAAGAGAAAGAGATTTTGAAAAAAATCGAGTGGACGGAAAACAAAATCGGAACAGACCCGGTCCTTGATCTATATTGGTACGAACAGAGAGCCCACTAGAAGAACGTGTTGGAGAACCTGCACATCGAAGAGGAGAAGATTTGGGCAGAAAGAGCAAAAATAAAGTGGATGGGAGTAGGGGAAAGAGTGACAAAAGAAAACTTTAAACGTTTGAATGCAAGGAAGGGCTCTACAGTGATTGTGGAACTAGACCACCCCTTTGATCCATTTGAGCCTAGAGCAAGGACTACAGAGAAGATCTTGGAGTATGCCAGGCTATACTACCAGGACATCTTAACTTCCCAGCGTCCCCCGCATCTAGAGGAAACAGAATGGAGGCTTACCAAACTCTGTGGGAAACCTTTGACATGCAGCTCCCAGTGGAGGCAAGGCTTGACCTGGACAGGCCGATCTCCATTGAGGAATTGACGGAGGCCATTAAGGCCATGCCAAGTGGCAAATGCCCAGGGAGTGATGGCCTCCCAGCAGAATTTTACAGGCAATTTTGGGAACAATTGGGCCCAACGCTGGTCCAAATATACAATAACCTGCTAAATGTAACGGATATGAACAAGGCTATGAGGTTGGGGATCATATCCCTGCTATACAAGAAGGGAGACAAGAGGAACGTAAGAAATTGGAGACCAATCTCCCTTTTAAACACCAGCTACAAACTTCTAGCCAAAGCTCTAGCAATCAGGCTCAAAAGGCACCTGCCTCGACTGATCGGAGTAGAACAGGCGGGTTTCGTCCAAGGAAGAAACATATTGGACAACATTCTCCTCGCCATTGAGGCTATGGAAGCTATGAAGGAGGACCACCCCGACATGGTTGTCCTCCTCCTCGACCTAGAGAAGGCCTATGATAGGGTTAACTGGAATTTTGTATTAGACACGCTGACAAGAGCAGGCTTTTGTGCGTACTTCCATAAGTGGTTTAAAGCTATGTACACGAAGGGGATAGGAAAGGTGATAGTCAACGGTCTCATATCAAAACCCTTTGCCCTGTCCAGGTCTCTGAGGCAATGATGTCCATTGGTTCCTTTGCTTTTCGTTATCCAAATGGAAGTAGTATTCTCGGCCATTAGGAAGAACCCCTTGATTAAGGGTCTCCCGATAGGAGAAGGTAGGTCGTTCAAGACTTCGGCGATGGCTGATGATCTCTTCCCCCTATCCACTAACTCTGAGCAGTCCCTGGGTGCCCTGAAGAAATGTTTGGACCTCTACTCTAAATTCTCTGAGGTTTTGGTCAACTGGCCCAAATCGGTCGCGTTGAGGAAACAGGAAACTAACTTGAAGGTCAATTGGGGTCTGAAATACTTACCTGTTGATGAATGTGAAAGGTTCTTAGGCGTGCAGGTGGGGCTGGAGAACGTCAGAAGCTGTGCCAGCAAGATTCTTGAAGGGAAAGCCCTGTGCAAGCTAGAAAAAATGTCAAAAGTAGCAGGTGTCTCCATATTAGGTAGGGCCCTGTACCTCAATACAGCAGTTTTCTCAAGCCTGTGGTTTGCAGGTGCCATTAGGCCCCTCGAGAAAGGCGCGCACACAAGAGTTAGACGAGCTGCGCCGCTAGGTATCTTTGGAAAGGCTCAATCAATGAGGACTCCGGTTACTTACCCGGGGTGGCTTGGAGGAAGGTCACGGAAGCCAAGGAGGATGGGGGGCTGGGCATTCTCGACCCGGAGATGCAGACCAATGCCTTGCTTGCTCGGTGGCCTGTCAAGCTGCTACTGGACAATTCAGATCACCCATGGAAGGCACTATCTATATCAGGCTTGGTGAAACATTGGGGACTGCAACGAAGGGAGGATGTAGGAGTGTGTCTCCTCACCAGGTCCTTTTTTTTTTTTTTAAAACAACCCGATTGGATGCTTGGTGTGCTGATAAGAGCAAACACATCTAGCACCGTCGGGGAGGCTCTTTGTTAAAAGGAAGGACCATTTGGGAGTGTGGGAAGACATATTACAGGCATGGTTGACAGTCATATCCTGTGCAGCGTCAGGCACCAACGACAGCGGATGAGATACTCATGCAACACATCTTCGAGAACAAGCGGTTATGCAGCGAGGATGGGACGCCCTGGTCTGCAGGGAACGGGGCTGGAGATTTTGGTCTCAAGTGGGTCCAGAGAGGTGTCTCACGGATCAGGGACTTATGGAACACTGACCTGCAACAGTGGAGGTCCCCACTGGAATTGAGAGCAAAACTACGCAACCTTCATTTGGTTACGGAAAGAGTTAACGCCGTGATACACAGTATTCCAACCGAATGGGTAGAGAAAATCCAAAATCCGCAGAAATCTTTAGAGGGTTGTTGGGTAGTGGCTAAGGGAGATGATGGAGAGATCTCTCCCTGGAAAATCCTGGTAGTTAAGGACAGCAATGAAGCTGTAGCAGCTAGAGGTCTTGTTTCCAAGGTCGACTCTTGCTCCCTCTCTGTGCTACAGGAGGCAGACCAAGAGTGCCTGAATACTGGTTCTACAAACCCTGGAAGGGAAGGACAAAGTTAACATACATCTTCCTCTTGGAGTGGTAGAAGTTAGGAATCTGTGCAATCAGACTCGGTCTCAAACACACTTTTCATGCATGGAAACAGCAACGCAGCATACTGGCGACATGCGCCCACTCAAAACTCAGAGATATGGCTTTCAGAGACGAGTTCACTCTCAATTGGCTATGGCGACTTCAGCGCCCAAACATCTCACTGTTCACMTACACTGGATCACCCTGGATATCCCACACGCAACACTCTAACACTCGAACACACACACACTCCCTACTAACTACAGCTATGGCAGCTRTCGCTGCATCTAACCTATCGCTATGCTAACTCCCTCTCTCTTGCCCACTACGTCCCCCGGGCTCATCTGCAGACCTCCTTGCACAAGGCGCTGTGGCAGCGCTTCCGCATGGCTCACGCAGGAACGAATGAATGGCTGGGCGCTGCCTCTTGATTTATACTTCAGAAACTCATTGGTCTGCCCTTTGCCATCTGCCCTTGGTGCTCACAGTCCCCCTGTGGTACTTGCTGGACCAGACTGGGACTGACTGGACCTTCCGCTGACTGACTGTGGACTCACCGCTATCCTCCCGACGTTGTACTGCTGTTGCACTGCGGTTTAGTCCACCACTTGCCTCACCACTTGACCACTTGCCCACTTGCCTACCTTCTAGAAGGTCTACAGCTAAGCTTCCGGAACTCACTAAGACTTCTACGCTATAGACCTACAGATCGAACCCCTGCTGCCTATGGACCTACGACAGGCCTACCAACTGCCTACGAATACACAGGTCACAGGTTCAATTCTCGGGTCTACACAGATACTGTACATGGGTAGGGTGAGGTCTAGGGATCGAACCCTGGGTACTGCATCCGCCACTGCTAAAAGGTGAAAACCGTTTCATCTGCTTGCTTTACCATGCCATTGGGGCTGGAGCCTCCCAGGCTCCGTCCAACCGATCACCCTTCTTGACTGCAGACCCAAGGTGGGTTATATCACACAGGCAAAGCCGTCTACAGTAGCCTTCGAAGTGAAAAGCAATTGGAACGCATCTCACCGGAGAGGGACCGCCAGGAAGAAACCGGTTACAACGAAAGACCTCAAGGTTCTTTGGAAGTCACTCAAAAAGATCCCATCAGTTAAATCATCAAGTCTGGCCTGGCTGCAATCGCACAGGGCCGTGCCAACGGCCAAGTGGCTACGTCAGAGGAATATGCAAGTCCCAGATCAGTGTTGCAGATGCAGGAAAGGTATGGAGGACATGGAGCACCTGTGGTGGGACTGTATTGAATCCAAGCGTATCTGGATGTGGTGGAGCAATCATTGGAAGAAGTGCGGACCAGATGGGATACGCTGGGACAGACATTTCGTCCTTGATGGCATCCTGCCCCAAGGTTTCAAGGCGACAAAAGGCTGGGGGTACATAGCGGTTGCTGTGCGGGCGGGTATCATGAACGTCATTTGGAAAATTAGAAATGATAGGCTGTTCAGACAGAAGTTTTACTTGGATACGTTTATAATTCAGCCGGTTTTAGGAAACATAAGAGCTACGATCTGGACTGACTGGAGGAAAGGGGGTAGTTTCCTCAGCTTGAGACCAAGACTGAAAAGGTTTTTCAGCACCTGGGGAAAAGATGATAGGTTGGCCTTCAGAAACAGAAACGGAGGTATCACCCTTTCTCCATGGTTCCTGGGACCGAGACCCCCATAAACATTTAGTCACAACGAACACTACGAGTCCCTGTTTCCTCAGGGAAATCCTTTGGGTTGTCAGAAAGGTCTACAATAGCTCCAGCTCCAACAAGACCAATAACAGACGGGCTTAGCTTCACAGTCTAACTTATGTCTACTACTGAATTGGTCGCAGTGCGTTGAACACTGCAGAATAGCAGAGCAGGAAGTAGCATTCTAGGCTAGCATGAGTCATTGCAGGCGCCTTCGAGGTGAAGAGGCCATAGTATGCTTCCCACCTGTTACCAGAAGTTTCATTTCGATCTATTATGCGAGGGACGCTGGACACGTTTTCCAGCAGTGAAAAATCTGAAACTTGTTCAGTTAAAAAAAAAAAAAAAAAAAAAGAGTTCAGTTTATTTTTCTGCATAACATACATAGTTGTTTTTATACATTTAAATATTTTGGATTTTTTTTTTTTCCCCCTGGGACCTTCTTCGGCCCTTGCACGGCCGGGCC